GCCTTCTTTATACTTGGTAGAATTGCCTATGAATATTGTTTTGCTTTATCTGCTCTTTCTTTTTTCTCTTAACATGAAGTGAAAGGGTTTAGGCACATAAACAGACAAACAAACTGCCTTGTTACTGGCAGGGTGTTCCCTTAGCAGGTCATAGCCAGTGTTTTACCTACGTTATAAAAGTAGTGTCTTGGATAGGGTGAGTTTCGATGGGTATTTATGCATTATGGATGAGTTACAGAGAAGTAGGTTGACGTAAGCCCAGGCAAAAGTGATAAACAAAACTAAATAGTTGATTTTTTCCTAGAGTTTTTATATGGAAGTCTTCATAGGCCTTTTTTCCCCCTCATAGAATATTGAAATGTAATTTAGGATGATTTTAGGATGGCTACTATCCAAGGTAGCCAGTGTGGGCTACATCTTTCTGGCTTACGTTTAGACCCGACAAAATTTTAGTCAAGGAATAGGGCATAATGAAGACAAACTTGAGTCATAAAAGTACAAACTATTTGTGTAAGTGATTTTTTAAAATGACAATGACCATTTGCTGCGATAGGATAGTTTTCCTTATGTCCTGTTGTAGTTGTGTTTTGGGTAGTGGCTCTCATCTATGTTAGAGTGCCCAAGACGTACTTGGGAGTCTTGTTTAAAACCATTCTGGTCCCTAGCTTTATGTTAGGGATTGCCTCAGTGGGTCTGGGCTGTGGCCCTGGAATCACCCCTTCGATAGTTTTGCAGGTGGCTCAGAGACCCGTGAGAGAGATGCTCCGTGGGATGGGAAGGTGCAATCAGTATTGTTTGGAGCCGAGGGGACGGTCAGCTTCTACCTGTGCTCAGAATAGGTGCTCTGCTGCCAATACTATGACTGAGGGTTCACCGTGTTCCGAGTAATAAGGGCGATGTCTTTCATCTAGAGGATTAACTAAGCTCGTTAAAGCTGTTTTTCTAAATTAAGGTATCATAGTGCCTTCTCTGAAAAATGAATGTACAAGTGTCTTATTTACTAACAGGTGTAATTAGGATTAAAAAAAACTTTTTGAAAGTAGTTTTTCTTTTAAAAAGCAAAATTCACTGTGACTTGAACCCCTCATCTTTCATGCACAGAAAACCTTAAGCCATAAATAAAAATAATAAAAAGGAAGGAGAAAATAATTTTGAAAATTAGTGACAAAAGTACCCCTATAACAGGAACTTTTCAAAACAGGTCTAGGAGCAGAAAGATTTCAAAAGAAAATGTTCTTCCTTGGAAGGAGTTTTCATGTGCCAGAACTAAAATTTAAATGTGGTGCTCTTCTGACCAAGGAAAGGTTACATTTGATTGGCGAAGCTTTCTAATTTAGATGGCTAAATCCTGCCATGGACTTAAGCCTTAAAGGGGTTCGTATTAATCCTGAGCATGTACAAGTTTTCTTTTTCTTTTCTTTAAAAAATGATTTGTTGAAAATACTTTCTCCTAGACCCTTGCCTTTGAACGGCTTTAAAATTTAATATACTTTTTAAAAAGTGCAATGGGATGAGATTATGCTATTGGTTTATTAAAAGCATATTTTCTGTTTCTTAATTGTAAGGTCATTTAATTGAATAAAGCTCATAGCACCATGTCTGTGATTTGTTTCTTTCTCTGTTCTTTAATATGGGAAGGTCTGTGAAATAGATTTGGGCTTGTCAAAGTGAATAGGATATCGAAGGGGAGGGATAACCCCATGTCAAAGGAGGTAGTGGTAATGCGGTTCGGGTGCATCACCTTTCTCTGTCCTGCAAAACCATACCTCACAGTCTTGCTAGCATAGTGCTGGAGAAGGGCATGGACTTGGACTTAAAATTGAACACAAGTTTTATTTACAGTAACGGGGACTTGTGAGGACCCTTGAACTTGTAGGACTTTCATTTGGTTGCCCTATTTGGTTAGATGGTTCCTCTTTGGGAGTGAGTGAAGCTCTTTCAAGAGCTTTCCCTTTTAACTGGTGACCTTGGAGCCAGTGGAGAGGTTGCATTCAACTTCCCAAATATTGGCTAATTGCTAGACGTAGCCCATTTGGCCCTGCAGTAAGATTTCTAGTATGTTTGTAGATTGAAACATACACTTGGTGTGGTCAGTTGCCATCCCTCCCTCCCTCCCTCCCTGTCTCCCTCTCTCTCCCTGGTGGTGGTCATATGTTCGGTGCCAGGCTAGCTGTTGCGTTCATGCTCATCAGTATAGTTAGGGAGGGTGCAAACTCACAGATTGTTAGGGTAGGAAGAGTATGGTGAAAACCCGGGACTACCATCAGAGTGGTGATACCCCAATAGCATAAGCTGGGGAGAAAGACGGGTGGGCAAAGACGGATGGATGGGGAGAAGTTGAGCTAACTTTTGTCTTTGGTGCATTGACATTCTTGCCTTTGACTACCATATATCAGTTTGCAAAGATGAGTTCAGCTCTAGCTGAATCAAAGGAAAAGTGGTAACTGGATGTCAAGGAGCAAAACATATCAGGCACCGGAAGAACTCGAATGTCCACAAGGCTATTATCTCAAGCACGTGGCAGCTGTATTATCTGCTTTTGCAGATGGATTTCTTCCGTGCTGCAGGGGGGGTAAGGCACAGATGGTTCCATGCTTACATCATACCACTCTAATGTTTCCAGGGGAAAGAGCCTTTTATTTATTTGTTTTTTTAACCCATTGCCTATTTAGAAATGTGTGTGTATATAGAGAAGGCTTCTGATTGGTCTGGCTTGGGTCATATGTTCCTTCAGGGTCAATTGCAGTAGCCTGGGGGCTGGGGCCTGATAGCTGGACCAAGGTCACATGTGTCTCTAGTCAGGGTGATGTACCGTGATTAGGCAGGTCCACTAGAACCACACCGTCACCAAGTGAAAGACTGCTGGACAGACAAAAACAAATGTTTGTTTTGGACTGTTGCTCCATTTAACGGGAGTAAGAAACCTGGAACATTTCAGGAATGTTCTTTCAAAGGGAAGTATGGTGGTTATGCTGCACATTAATGCAGGGGAAGCTCTTCAGAGCCTCTCAATAGGGATTTGTTCTCGTTAGTAGGACTTGAGGGGTCAGAAATGGGATTCAGAAGGAAGTTACATTTCACCTTTTCTTTCATAAAAACCTGATTTTTCTGGTCAAACTGTCAGAAGTGGCATATTCACAAAGCTGCACCAGAGTAGCCTGGATAAACATTAAAAAGCCTGTATTCAGGGGTGCCTGACTGGCTCAGTTAGCAGTGACTCTTGATCTCAGGGTCTTGAGTTCAAGCCCCACGTTGGGCACAGAGCCTACTTAAAAAAAAAAAAAAAAAAAGCAAGCTTGTATTCAGTTTTGACATTGATGGACTTTTTCCCAGAAGAGTGTTCAGGTTTTGAGAGTTAATGTCAAGCAACAGAAACCCTCATGTTCGCACAAAATGCTCCTAATGGATTCTGCTCCTTTAAATGTGGCTTGCCGGCCCTCTCTCTCCTTCCCCACTCTCCCCTTCCCCCTTTCCTTCTCCTGCCCTGGCCTTGTTGCCCTCCTACCCCACCCACTCAGAATCCCCACAAGGTCTCATGCTTCAGCATAAGCCTGAGCCATTTTCTCCTACTTTCAGAGACCGCAAAACACTGGATTCTCCTGGAGAATTGTCCTCCTTAGAAGACAGAAAATGGAGACTGCAAATAATGACAATTCTCCTCCCCACCACAAGAAGAACAGGGCTCTGTGACTGTGGTTGCAGAAAAGACCAGAGACTTTGGAGTCAGCTCTTGGTTTGATCCTGGCATGGCTTCCCATTCAAACAGCGGTAGTGGACTTGGAGGGCGGGGGGGGGGGGCGCCTAGGGACAGTCTTGCTGGTGGCGGTACCAACATCGTGTGGTATAGCTTCTTGGCCTGGGGTCTGTCTTACCGAGCTCCTCTTGAGCCCTGTGTGGAAGGCGAAAATCACTTTCCTGACATCCTTGTCCCTCAGGATGCTTTCTGTTTTGTTTTCCCTGGCACAGCACAGGGGGAAATAAATAAGGGAGGTGACATCTGGGCAGTTCTGAAAGCAGAGAGTAAGGAGAAACAGAAGTCAATCTGGTGTTCTCAAACCCCAACCCCTCCGCCTTGGGTTTGGGCTGCTTTACTATCACTTGCTTAATACGAAAAACAATTTGTTGGGTGAGTAGCAATGCCCATAAAGCTCTGGTATGTATTTGCGTTGCCTCTGACTCTCCCGTTGGGAAGCTGGTGAATGACGGGTGATGTGTTGAGCACGTGCTTTTCCTTGTGTTAACAGCCAACATGTCCTGATGAGGATTTACCATGTGCCACACATCAGGCTCAGTACTTTATAAGCATCATTTCATTTGTGGCTCTCCCTTCGGGGAATGTATTTTTACACGTGATCTTATATGTTGCCCAGTATTATCATCACTCCTTTTAAGAGATGAATAGACTGAGGCTGAGAGAGTGAAGGGTGTCCTGGACCCTATAGCCAGCAAGTGAGCAGGCCAGGATGTGGCCCAAGCATCTAGACTGCAAGGCGCAGGGCTGGCTGGGAGTGGGGAGAAGAGAGATGAACGGGAGCTGGTTCCACTCTTAAGGAGCCACAGTCCAGCCAGAGCCGGGTGCCAGGAAGGGCCTGTGTCTGGTCATTCATTCATGGAATTTGTGCTGTGGACCCAGTTTGGGGGATATCTGATGGCTTAAGACCCAATAGTTAAAAGTGCTTCCTTTTTGCTGGACCTCTGAAAGCCTTCACCTGGCTTTCAACTTTAATATAGTTTCAAACTATAAGCCCACTCCGATGGAGGAGATAAGTCAGTTGATTACAGTCCAGAGTGGTGTGTATACAGATGGAGTCTAATACAAGATGGGTCTTCAATATTGGGCGGCCCCAAGCGCGTGTGTGGAATTGGTGAGGAGGAGGTGGCAGTGGAACTGGGTTCAGGGGGCGCCTCTAGGTGGAGGAGGGCGTGGGGAGCGGGGGGGGGGGTGGTGGTGAGTGGGAGGTCTCCTGGCCCTCTGACCCAGAGGCGGGAGCAGGCTGTCCCTGTCGCCTGGCTGGGAGCTCTGCGAGGCTCTCATTTGTCAGCCGCGCGGGGAGGAGCCGGGTGACCTTATGCTGGCTGGAGCCTCTGCGGCCATTAAACCCGGTCTCTTGGCTGCGCCCTGCCTCCCAAGTTCGAGAGGTGGGTGGAGCGGTCCTTTCCCGAACTTAAGGAAGGGTGAAGTGCTTGGGGGTGGCTCTCCAGGTCCCGGATGGCCGAGTGGGAGACGGAGAAGTTGGGGGGAGGCGGGCGTAAACAAGTTAGGGGGCAGCCCGCCAGCAGCCGCGCCCCTGGCACCCGCGGGCGGGGAGCACAACCATGAGCAGGAGACACTGATCGTCCTTTCCCGGCTGCGCCGCCGCCTCTCAGGTGTCGGGTGAGCCTTCCCTGACCCTTCAAGGGATTCATCAGTTCACGGCCAAGTTCAGGGGCAGGGAGGGGGTAGCGAGGACCTCGAAGAGTGAGCTGGTGGCCCTGGGAAGGGTCAGAGGAGAACCGCACAAGGTCTCCTTGCTAGAAGCCACGGTACCCTGGGGTTCGGGGAATGCTGTTCCCTATTAATGTCGTAATGAATCCCTGCTCCCCCTGCCTCAGGGCTTTACGCAGCAGATACACCGAACTCCAGCCTGAAATTGAGGGTCCACAGGACGAGAAAAGATGCGCGCGTCCATCGTAAGTGTGGGGCCGGTGTGGGCTGGGGTGGGGGCTCTGTTTTAGTGGGGACTCATTGTCCGGGAGCCTGAGTTATTACTGGAGAGTGAGGATCCTGGAGGATGTGGGACCACACCTCCTGCAGCTGGTGGGCATCAGGTGTCGGATGTGGGTTAGCCTGCTCCTGGTCCACCTGTCTCAGTACTCACTCTTGTGTGGGTACCTGCCTGAAATTAATGCCAGGGCAGGCAGGACCTACAGGAGGAGGGAGGCAGCAAGGGGCGACTTGCTCCCCGAGGGCCCTGCCCTGCGTCCCCCAGTCAGACCAGAACATCCCATGTTCTGGCTCCTGGGGCCAGATGTCTGGGGCTGGACCTGCTGCCCCAGCCCCTGCTTGGGTCTGACCTTTTCTCTGGGCTTTTTTTGTCTCCACTGACTCGCCCCATGACCAGCCCTAACAGCGATTTCTAAGCTTTCACTTTTACTTTTTCTAGTCTGTGATGTGGTTCAGAAATCATAAAGGGGCTTAGCAAATGCTTCCTTTCAACCTAGCAGAACCTGCAACAGAGAGATTCAGGGCACCGGCTGCTGATGTAGACCCGCCTGGGGTTGTGTTCCTACACAGCACTTGGTTGGGGCACAAGCCTGCAGGGTGCTGTTCTGAGCACTTCCTGTCTGAAATCCGCTCCGTTCCCCAGAATGAAGATTATAGGACTTAATACATGGGAAGTGCTCAGAATAGTGCTTCCCACACATAGTAAGTGCTCAACTGCAATTCACTCTTACTATTATTTCAATCCACAAAAAGATGCCACAGGGACTGGCATCAGGCAAGCAGGACCCTGGCGTATATGATGCCTCGAGTGGTCATTTTAAACATCCCTCTCCTTTATCTGACAACACTGTTTTCAATAATAATCATGAAATGGATAGTAATAATATCCGGAAAAGAAACAGTGAAAATTTTCTTTTATTGAGGTTTGTATATGAAATCATGCCAGTGCAAAAGGAAAAAAAAAAAAGAAAGAAAAGAAAAAGAAGGTAAATGTTATGGAGAAAAATAGGAAGAAGTAATGGATTAGGAGTTTTTAATTTGGGGCACCTGGCTGGCTCAGTGAGCGGAGTCTGTGACTCTTGATCTCAGGGATGTGGGTTTGAGCCCCATGTTGTAGAGATTGCTTAAAAATCTTTTTTAAAAAGTTTTTAATTGCATGAATGTAGTTTTGAAAGAAAGCTTACTCTTGCATGTAGGTTGGTCATAGTCACGAATAATAGCAACATGACAGTTTCTGTTTTGGAACTTTTACTTCTGGAAAGTTGTCCGTGACTTTGTCAAGATTGATCTTTGCATATTCATGTTTTGTATTCAGCTGAGCTCAATTTGTCCATCCGTCTTTGTTCACAGCTGACTGAAGAGTGCTTTTTATTAATTTTAATTTCAAAAGCTCCTCTACATGAGACCACAGATATACAACTAGGGAAAGTCTTAAACATTAGGAGAGTTTTGTCAGAGATTCATAAAAATCACATTTCAGAATAAATTCCAGAAATTGCAATACTGTGTCTTAAAAAAAAAATCAATCTAGTGCCTTTTAAATATCTCCACATGTGAAACATTTTCACTAAAACATCATCACCAGAAAATTAATCATAAGTTTTTATCTTATTTGGTGAAATTTGCCCAAGTTTTCCTTCTTCTGAAAAAATCAGAGAAAATGGTTGAGTGAAAGTGGGCACTGATATTTATTTATTCCATTGCTTTAGAATGAGTCTAGTTCTCGGTGATAGGGAGGCCACTTCTCTTTTAGTTACTCTGGCATGGGGAGAGCTGACTCTTCTGTCTTCTATGTTGAAACACAGGAAAATGTAGGACCTTGAGAGTCAGCATATGAACCGTGCCCCATGTGAGCTCGAACCCCTCTGAGCTACTTGGACTTTCTGTTGGAACAGTAGCTAAGTCTGTATCCACAGACTATAGAACTGGGTGTTCTCTGATCGAACTTCCATGTAGAAGACAGTTTTATTTTGTTTTTTTTTAAGACGCAGTGAGAGAGGGAACACAAGCAGGGGGAGTGGGAGAGGGAGAAGCAGACTCCCCACTGAGCAGGGAGTTCGATGCGGGGCTCCATCCCAGGACCCTGAGATCATGACCTGAGCTGACGCTTACCCGACTGAGACACCCAGGCACCCCAAGGTGTGTTCTTATTGTTTTAAAAATTTCTATGGACAACTTATTCCTTTTTTTTTTTTTTAAAGATTTTATTTATTTATTTGACAGAGAGAGTGAAAGTGTACAACAAGGGGGAGCAGCAGAGGGAGAGGAAGAAGCAGGCCCCCTTCTGAGCAGGGAGCCTGATGCGGGACTCGATCGCAGGACCCTGGGATCATGACCTGAGCCGAAGGCAGATGGTTAACCATCTGAGCCACCCAGGCGCCCCAGACAACTTATTCCTATTTGCACCCAAGGAATACAGCTCCCACCTCCCCACTCTTTTGAGTGTGTGGCTGCCTGCCTTTTAGAGTTTGGCAAATGTCATTTCTTATTAGAGCAGCTGCGTGGACCTCCCTGGGATGGAGAGCCTGCCTGTCTACTGTCCAGCCCATGTTTCTCTGAGTCCTTTATTTTTATTTAAATTCAATTAATTAACATAATGTATTATTAGTTTGAGAGGTAGAGGTCAGTGATTCATCAGTTGCGTATAACACCTAGTGCTTATTACACCACATGCCCTCCTTAATGCCCATCACCCCGTGACCCCATTCCCCCACCCAGCTCCCCTCCAGCAACCCTCAGTTTGTTTCCTGAGATTGAGTCTCTTCATCTTGTTTTATTTTTTCCTCTCTTCCCCTGTGATTCTGTATCTTGTTTCTCAAATTCCTCATATCAGTGAGATCATATGATAATTGTCTTTCTCTAATTGACTTATTTAGTTTAGCATAATACCCTCTAGTTCCATCCACGTTGTTGTAAATGGCAAGATTTCATTTTTTTTTTTGATGGCTGCATAATATTCCGTTGTATACGTATCCCACGTTTTTTATCCATTCATCTGTCGATGGACATCTGGGCTCTTTTCATAGTTTGGCTATTGTGGACATTGCTGCGATAAACATCGGGGTGCAGGAGCCCCTTCACTACCTTTGTGTCTTTGGGGTAAATACCCAGTAGTGCAATTGCTGGGTCGTAGTAGGGTAGCTCTATTTTCAACTTTTTGAGGAACCTCCATACTGTTTTCCAGAGTGGCCGCACCAGCTCGCATTCCCACCAACAGTGTGGGAGGGGTCCCCTTTTCTCTGAGCCCTTTAGTCAAGCCTGTGACTCCTGGTCAGTGCCAGAGCTGACCATTCTCTCCTCTTCATGTTCCACATTTGCTTAGAACAAGCGGGCCAGGAGCCTTTGCCTCTCCTTCTCCAGCCTTGCCGTCCTTAAATCTGTGGCTAGCTGCTGGGGAAGTGAATATCCAGAGTGAAACTGAGGCTCCAGAATATCGGTACTGAACTGGACCCTTGGGTTCTCTAAACAATAGAAATCAGTAAGAGGCCAACCAGGCGCTCCAGGCAAGGCTTTACTGGGGTTTGTGCTCAAGCACAAGGGAGGCAGTACAAGGAAAGAATCCCCTGACTCCCCGGAGGAGAGGTCAGGGAGGGTTTTTTAAAAGAAACGTAGGTGGGGAAAGGGTGCCGTGGAAGCACATAGTGGAGGATTTATTCACACCTGTGCACTTAAAGGTCATGCTTCTTCCTGCGTCCCATGTCTAATTAGCATGTTAAGTCCCCATCCCCTGGGCCTGATTTTTGAGTATTATAATGAGAAGTCAAGTCTGTGAGAGTTCAGCCCTGGGATCTGCCCATCTTGGTGCAGACTGGTTTGGTCCGGTCTTGGCCAGTCTTTGTAGTAAACATCCTCCCTTCAGTAAGCGCCTTCCCTCTGAATTCCTGCAAGGTGGGCTCCTCAAGAGGCACAGAGTTTTAGCTTTTTTTTTTTTTTTTTTTCCCGTACGAAGGCCCCCAAGGAGTTCTGGATTTCACAGTCAGGGTTGAAGGGACGTGAGTCCAGTCCCTGCTCTGTCTCAATATGAAGACGTTGATGGGCCTACTCTGATCTCTGACTCTTGGACTCCCTTGTGACAACTTTGTGAGCCTCTCAGTTTGCCTGATGTTCCGACAGATCTCTGCAGTGTTTGTTAAGGTGCTAAGGGGAAGGGACGAGAAGAGGACCTTCTCAAGTAGCAGAGCTCCAGGCCCTGCAGGGAGTCATCCACATTCCAGAGGGGTCCTATCGGGGCTGGGCTTCAGAAGGAAGCAGTGCATCCTTGGAGGCTGCAAACCTCTGGTGAGAACACTATGTGCCAGGCTGGTTGCTGGGTGTGGCTGGTGGGCTGGGCATGGAGCCTGGTCACTGTTCCCATGGGCTCAGCTCAACAATTATAGTCCCCTGAGGGCGCCTGGGTGGCTCAGCGGTTACGCGTCTGCCTTCGGCTCAGGTCATGATCCCAGGGTGCTAGGATTGAACCCCACATCGGGCTCCCCGCTCGGCGGGAGGCTTGCTTCTCCCTCTCCCTCTCCCCCTGCTTGTGTTCCCTCTCTCGCTGTGTCTCTCTCTGTCAAATAAATAAATAAAGTCTTAAAAAAAAATTATACTACCCGAGAAAATCGGGCGTGGCCCGTGGAAGCAGCAGCAACACTGTTTGCTGGCGTGTCCTCTTGAGGGATCGGTAGGGCTTTGCCAGTGAATAGCCAAGGGCATTTCTGGCCTAGAGAAGCATGACGTAGAGGCAAAGCTCACCCTGCGGGTTGTTACCGGAAGTCAGTACCTTCGTGTGAACTTCTGGGTATAGTGGAAAGAATTTGGCCCTTGGATTCAGGAAGACCTACAGTGGAATCCTGGCCCAGCTTCTTGGGGAGCTCTGAGAACTTGGGCAAGTTACTTCCCATCTCTGCGCTATTTCCTGACTTGTAAAAAATAGGGCAGCTGTGAAGAATTCCAGATAACTCGTGTGCATGGCAGTGGCCGTGGTGGTTTCCAGATGAGTTAGGAGGCAGTCCTGATTCATGTGGAGTGAGGCTGGACTCATACATCGCACCAGCCTCGGGCCTGGAGGTCAGGAACCTGGGAGGCCCCATAAGTTTTGCCTCCTTTTTCTAGGCTACTTTTGGGGCCACAGGGGCTGGACCTGCTACCCACTGGAGCCGCCCCTGTTCCTCTCCCAGCAACTGGCAAGGGAAGAGGCGATACATAAGCCCAGTCCCTCCTCTACCTTCTCTCTGGGGCTGAGGCTGGGGGGTGTGGGCAATCAGACCTCTGGTCATACTTCCTTCATGTACCCAGCCCGGGGCACAGGGTCTCAACCCTCTCCCAGGTACTTTGTTTTACAGCTTTTGTCCCATGATCGCATTTATTCCTCACATAGACTCTGCTGGATGGGTCTGCATGGCCCCATTGTACCAGAGAAGCTCAGAGAGGTTCAGGGACTCCTGAAGGTCACACAGCAGTAGAGCAGAGAGGGGCTGAATCTTGGGTGGACATGGGCTGTGCTTCTGAAAACGCAGCCTTGGATAGACAGGATTGATGCCCAGCCCCTCACAGGTTTCTTCTCTTCCTCGAACCTTGGTACTGAACTCCCAGCTCTTTGCTGGAAAGTCCCCTCTTGGCATCCACACTGGACCTTTGGTCCTTGTAATTTTCCAGGAGTTTCCCCAGAGCATCAGGAAGGAAGGGGCTGAGACTGGAATTTCCACACTCCCCACAGCATGTGGTTTTGGGAACAAGGAGAACCTGCTCTCAGGCTGGGTTTCACAATCTCCATGGCATCTCCGGCTGGTCCTGGAACTGAGAACTTCCCAAACCAAACATACTGAAAACACACCCAAGGACAGTGGCAGCAAAAACTGCCGTGTACAGAAGTCTTCCTTTGTGCCAGGTGGTATTTGCTGAGTGTTTTGTAGGTATTAACCTATTTGTTCCTCAGGACAACCCCATGAGTTATTCCATTTTACAGCTGGGGAAACCGAGGCTGGGAGAAGTTGGGTGACTTGTCCAAGACTGTCCAGTTAGGAAGTAGCAGAGCCCAAATTTGAACCGAGGCTGTCTGGCTCTGGAGCCCCAAAATTGTAGTCAGTATGCTTTTTTCTGAAAACGAAAGCCATCTGGATTTAGACATGCTCATGAGTCATGCTCAGTAGCCTACTGAGCATGTATTTTTTTGTACATCTGAAATATTTCATTAAAAAAAAAAAACAAAATTGCAAAGCTCTGACCGATGAGGCTAAATGGGGCCGGATGTGTGTGAGTTGGAGCACTTCCATAGTGGCCTTGAATTAAAGAAAAAGATGCTTTTTTAAAACATCTATTTTATTTATTTTTATTAAGTAGGCTCCCCTCGCAACATGGGGCTCGAACTCACGACCCCAGAGTCGCACACTCCACTGACTGAGCCAGCCAGGCGCCCCGAGAAACACATTCTTTTTGTTTTGTTTCACCGCTTGGGTTGAAAATTCTTCCGCAAATGCTGTTGCTGTGCTCTCTGGTCCTGTCCAGTGCCCACAGCTGAGGATCTCAAACTGGATCGGAGCCGCAGGGGTGAGTGTGGATGACTATGTAGGGGCTGCAGACGGAGTTGTCTGCTGGAGGGCTTGGCTGTCTCCTTTCTCCCTGCGGTGGGGGAAGAGGCTGGGGCTGCAGCTGCCCCATTGCCACTTTCAGGCTGACTCTGCGTAAGCGACCTCATCTCCCTTAGCCTCAGTTTCCCCGCCTGCAAAATGATGTATGTCTGCTCATCTCAGCCTGACGTTCAAGGTCACGGCTCTCTCCCCTCAGATACTCTCTCCTCTGGTTCTCACTCCGGGCTGCACCGTAGAACCACCTGGAAGCTTTAAAAAAAATGCTCCCACGGGCACCGGGAGATCCCCTCACAGCTGTGCTTCTGCTTCAGTCTGCCCCGCACCCCTGCTTCCCTGTCTCCATCATCCCCCTTAAGGCCACTCCCTCCTCATCACCTTCTCTAATTGCCGGAGGATGTGAGGGTTGAGAGTATAGGATTCAGATTTGAATTCTATCTATAGCACGTACACGGTCCCTCTCGCCTTTCAGGACTTCAACAAAAATCTCAGGTGCTGCCTTTTCTATCATTTGTGGCTCCTCTCCCCCTCCTCCCTTAACGCCCATTCAGCCGGACTTTGGTGTCCAACTCTGGTTGGAGCTGCACTCACAAAGGCCACCAGAGACCCTCACCCTAGAGTGCACGCCTGACCTCCAGAAGCCCGTTTTCAGCTGCCTCCCTGGCCTCTCCACTTGGCTCCCTGGAGCCCGGTTCACCCCAGCGCCCCAAGCAGGAGCACCCACTCCTCCCTAGCCTGCTCTGTCTGCAGCCTGCTCATCCTGCCTCCCACTTGCTCTGGCCAGAAACCCTGGGGTGATCTTTGACTCCACTTTCCTTCACGCCCCACCTCATTCCATCGGCGAATCCTGTTGGTTTGACCTTCATAGAAATCCAGAACCCATTACTTGTCATCCCCACTGCCCTGTCTCGTCTGAGACACACAGGATTGATGATAGACATCATCCACACCACTCTCCATCCTGCATCCTCTCCTTCTTCGCCCCCCCCCCCACTCCAGCCACACTGGCCTCTGGGCTGCTCCTCAAACACGCTTCCACCTGGGGCCATTGCTCAGGCTGTTCCCTCGGCCTGGGTGTTCCAGATCTCTGCAGGGCCCACTGTCTGCCTTCCCCAACCCCTCATTTAATATTGCAGTCTCTGCCCCCACCCTGCCCCTCCAGATCCTTTAACACCGCTCTACATTTTCTTTCTTTTTTGTTTTTATTTGGTATCTCTTCCAATGTTCTGGATGATTTGCTTATTTACTAAGGCTTAAAATAAACTAAAAAAATTTCTGTCTCTCTCCCTGGTACTGAGCAAAAGCTCATGAAGGCAGGGATCTTTATTTTGATCATAGACACAGTGCAGGTGCCTAGGTTGGTGCCTGGCATCTAGCTCTGTGAGCATCTGTTGGGTGAAGGAGCAAATGAATGAGTTCCTTGACCCTCCCAGGCAGAGGTGGGCATCTCCAAGGTGAAGGGATTCTCAAGGGGTGGCCACTTACACCACTGCCCTAGGGCAGGGCAGAGTATTTGTTAAAAGTGTACGGTGATTCTGCAAGCAGCAAGCAAGCCCCTCTCCTCTAATTTGTGCGCAGGCTTGTGTCCGAGAACCACAGCTGGGGATAAAGGTTGCAGGCTCGGAGTCAGGAACCCAGTGGGTTCTAGAGCAGAGTTAGAGCACATTGCACACCATTATTGCCGTTGTCATTGTCCTGGACTCCCTCTGCTTTTCCCAGAACGCCGGTCATTAAACTCTTCTTTTTAACTCAAAAGATACTCGGCTGGTGGAATAAGCAGATGGGCATATTTGTGATAAAGCAAATGCAGTAACCTAAGAGTAGCATCTAAGTGGTTGGGTATACAGATATTCACTAAACAATGCATTCAGTTTTGAATGCTTGAGACTTTAAATTGTATGTTTGAAAATGTTTCTTTTTTTTTTTTAATTTTTTTTATTGTTATGTTAATCACCATATATTACATCATTAGTTTTTGAAAATGTTTCTTAATAAACTGTCGGGAAGCATGCTATGAACTTAAAAACACTCATTGTGGGAAAGCTGGAAAATACAGATAAAGAGAAGGAAGCAAAATAATTCCAGTAACCATCCCTTAGCCCCAGCACCCAGAGAGATTCTCTGTGAAGAAGTTGGTGTATATCTTTCTAGTCTTTTTGTCATGTGTATTTATTTTGTTACAGAGTAGTAATGGTATAGATTACCCCAAATTGAACACACTGATGTTTGTCAGGTTTTGTGTGTGTGTGTGTGTGTATGTGTGTGTGTGTGATTCTAAAATGAATATACGTATATTTAAACATTTTCGAGGGCGCCTGGGTGGCTCAGTTGGTTAAGCGACTGCCTTAGGCTCAGGTCATGATCATGGAGTCCTGAGATCAAGTCCCGCATCAGACTCCCTGCTCAGCGGAAAGTCTGCTTCTCTCTCTGCTGCTCCCCCTGCTTGTGTGTGCGTGCTCTCTCTCTCTGACAAATAAATAAAATCTTTAAAAAAAAATAAACATTTTGGAAAACTAGAAAAAAATTAAAAAGAAAATTAATACCCCAGATGTCACCAACTGGTAATAAACAGTTTACATTTTGGTGTATTTCCACAGCTTTTCTTTATGTGTTTTCTTTTTTAAACAAGTTTAAAAAATATACTGTTTTGTATAAAGCTTTTTCATTAACCATTATGTAATGGGCATTTATTGTCATTAAGTATTCTTTTAAAATAAAACTTTAAAACATAACATATAGTATCCTAGTATATAAATATGGCAAGAATAAAATAATCTTTTTACGTAGGATTTTTAGGTATCAATGTTTTGCCATTGGATGTCACTTTTTGATGGACAGCTTTTGTGGGCATTTCAGATTATTTCCTTAAGATCTGGTCTATAAATAGAAATTGGGTCAAAGAGTATGAATATTTTTAAGGTTAGTGAGACAAATTGCCAAATTGCCTTTCAGAAAAGTTATACTGATTTTTATTCGCATCAGCAATGAATGATGGTATGTGTTTATCTTTTCTTATATTTAATATTGGTATTTTAATTTCCCCCAAAACCAGTTTTTAATTTGCATTTACTTGATTACTAGTGAGGTAGAATATGTTTACTTATATTAGTGGTAATATATATTTCTCCTTTTTAAATTACTTATCATGCCCTTTGTCCACTTTTTTCTATTTTGATATTTACATCTTTTTTATTGGTTCGTAAAAACTCTTTATATATTAAAGATATTGACTGTTTTTCTGTCATTTTCTTCCAGCTGATCATGGTAGTTTGTGGTGTTTTATTTTGTTTTTTTCCAGTGCATAGAATGTCTGGCTCATTTGGCTATAAGTAACAAGCAACCCACTTAAGCTAGCTCAAGTAAAGAAATTTTAGTTTTAGTTTTAGTTTAGTTTTAGTTTAAGGACACATGTGGAGGTTCATAGGATGAGACCTGCTTGCCTTCTTCAGGTCCAGCTGGCTGAGGTGGGAGGCGTTGGTCACAGGGTATGAAATATGGTGGCTGCCTAGGCAACTGGGACTGCAGGCAATCAGTTTCCCTTAAAAGGGAGCATGAACATAACAGGCAATGATAGAAACTTCTAATAATAAGACCTTTAACATTTTTTAAATTGTAAAACCTTTTACCCTTTTTCTTTGTGGCTTTTTCTTTGGCTTTTATCCTTTGAGTGTCTTTATTCTAAGATCTGATATATATGCATCTATATTATTTTAAAATTTATTTATGGTTTTAGTCAACAAAACAAAGAGGCAACCCACAGAATGGGAGAAGATATTTGCTAATGACACTACAGACAAAGGGATGATATCCAAGATCTATAAAGAACTTATCAAACTCAACACCCAAAAAACAAATAATCAAGTCAAAAAATGGGCAGAAAACATGAACAGACACTTCTCCAAAGAAGTAATACGAATGTCTAACAGACACATGAAAAAATACTCATCATCATTAGCCATCAGGGAAATTCAAATCAAAACCACATTGAGATACCACCTTACACCAGTTAGAATGGCAAAAATTGACAAGGCAAGAAACAGCAAATGTTGGAGAGGTTGTGGAGAAAGGGGAACCCTCTTGCACTGTTGGTGGGAATGCAAGTTGGTACAGCTACTGTGTAAAACAGTGTGGAGGTTCCTCAGAAAATTAAAAATAGAGCTACCCTATGACCCAGCAATTGCACTCCTGGGTATTTACCTCAAAGACACAGATGTAGTGAAAAGAAGGGCCATATGCTCCCCAATGTCCATAGCAGCAATGTCCACAATAGTGAAACTGTGGAAGGAGCCAAGATGCCCTTCAACAGATGAATGGATAAAGAAGATGTGGTCCATATATACAATGGAATATTACTCAGCCATCGGAAAGGATGAATACCCAACTTTTACATCAACATGGATGGGACTGGAGGGGATTATGCTAAGTGAAATAAGTCAAGCAGAGAAAGTCAATTATCATATATATGGTTTCACTTATTTGTAGAACATAAGGAACAGCATGGAGGACATCAGGAGAAGGAAGGGAAAAATGAAAGGGGTGGAATCGGGGGGAGACGAACCATGAGAGACTATGGACTCTGAGAAACAAACTGA